GAGAGAGAGAGAGAGAGAGAGAGAGAGAGAGAGAGAGAGAGAGAGAGTTATTATTTGAAAAAAAAAAAGACTCTGGACAACCCTTTGGCCTGAGTGTACAATAAGCAAACATGTGTTATTTAACAAATGGTCTTGTACAAGACCTGTCGTGGATGTGTTTCGACCATCACGTAGCATTTGCGCTTCTCATCTCACATTACGCACTATCCATTCAGTGTACACAGTGTTGCTTGTCTTGCAAGGATACGCAATGCGTCATGTCTGATGTGCCATAAACCCAGAATATGTCAACATATGATTTTGTAAGAACATGAATTGTATTTGACAAAAAAAAGCAGAAAACGCATTACCCACTTCAAAAAATAATGAATATGATGTCACAAAGCACTACAAAACATGTTCATCTTAATGCTGGGTGAGAAGTACATGACTGGTTGACTACTGCGTCGATCAGGGTACTATAGGGAGGTGGGGTTGCAGGGCGCTGGGGAGTGTTGAGGCGGAGCGAGGTTAAGTGAAGGTGGGGGTCAAGTAGAACGGATGTGAAGCGGCTTTATGGGGAAGGCCGGGTAGAAATGAGAGGAGTAGGGGAATAGAGGAAATGGTGGAGAAAGCTATTAGGGAGAGGCGGTGACGGGGGTGGGGAGTGGGTTAGCGACGAGGGGGATGGGTAGAGCTGAAGGTTGAAGAGGGGGGTAGTCGCATTATTGGATAGGAGATGACAGGCGGTGGCGGGGTGGAGTGGGGGTGACGGGGAGGCGTAAAAGGAAAAGGATGAACTGGGAGGGGAGGGGAGGGGAAATGGGAGAAGGGTTGGGATGGTGAGAGGTGAGTAGGGATGAGAAGAGTTGTTAGATGTGGAGTCAGTGTTAGTGTAGAACAGGAGGGAGTCGGGCTCTTGAGGGGTAAAAACGGTGCGACCACTTTGTTAATCGAAAAGATCGGAGATTTCGCCTCGTTTGGATGGATGTAGGATAGGTACCTGTCAGTGGGGGTTAGGGTAGGGGAAGGGGAGATTAAAAGGTAGGTTCGGAGGAGGAGTGAGTAGGGAGAAGAGGAAATACCTAACGAGGAAGGAAAGTGTAAACTTTCTTCGAAAAAGGAGGAACCGAGTGTGGAGGGTCCCTTCTTCTCTTGGAGGAGAAATACGTCGAGAAGGGGCGTTGCTATCCTGTCCCCAGGTATGCAGGTGGAAAACCTTGGTAGATGCAGGCTCTGGCTCCGACGATCTCTGTTTGCCTCCCGTTGCCAAGTGCCGGTAGGACACTGATTGGAAGATCACATCGGCGTCTCAGACCGTGGAGGGTGCCTTGTGGGGGTAGCCCCTGGGCTGTGCGATTCCCCCTCCCTCTCCGGTGCACGGCCCGCTTCTCTCGTAGGAGGAACACATGGAAGGTGGGCCCCTTCCTCGCTGGCGCACAGCAGTGATGGTGTCCCTTCTCCGCTCCAAAAGACGGCCCGTTTCTCCAGTGGGAGGAACGCGTGGGTGGTGGGCCCCTTCCTTGCTGTCGCACAGCAATGATGGCGAAGCCGAGGTCCGATTGGTTTCCTCGTGTCGTAGCAGCCGTAGCCTTTCCTTGGAGGGAGGAATGTTGGCGCAGATCACGAGCAGGTACAGGTGGTCCGAGCGAATCGAAGTCGGCTTTCCTCCCGCCGGGCCCTACCTCCGTCCTACCTCCCCAAAGAGGAAAGGGGAGGCGGAAGGCCGACCTGGGACGATTGATACATTACTCATCAACTACAAACTCCGACGTCTGTATCTCAGGAATAGTAAGTGGAGAAAAAAATTCCCCGTCCGAGGACAACCGCAGTAAACTGGTGAAAGGAGATGTGAAGATTCCTGTAGCGGAGCACCCAACTCGGGTGGAGTGCTACACCAGCAGTCTGTTCAGTTCTGTTGGTAAGCTTCTGAGAGCACAGGGGGGAGTGGTCCCCGCGGGTGCGGCTTCTACCACGGAACAGCGGTCCCCGCGGGTGCGGATCGTCGTGGAAGGTTGACAGCCATACCCCTCCTCCTTCTCCCTCATGGGTAGAAGAAGCGGGTAGCTATGGTGAGATAAACCTAGCTTACGAGCCATAGCTTACGAGCCACGCTATAGCGCAGGCGAGCGAAGCGCCGCTGAGATCGCGTCCCTACTCCCCTCGGAATGAGCTATCTATTCTCCATGGTAAACCCTTTTGTCCATCCTATCTTGTCCAAACAGCAAAAAAGAGGACTGAATTCACTT